TTCAACTGGGATAACCAGTGGTCCCACTGGGGAGAAAGCATTACCTTCCAAATCCGTTGCGACAATGGCCCTCCCTTGGAAGCATGAACCACCTCGCCAGTCTATATAGCATTTACTGGAAAGAATGACCTCCGGGTGTAGCTAATGTTATGGCAAGATTCCTATCTTCACTATCATATTGCCCGAATGTGCCCAGATGTTCTGCTCATAAGGGTCCCCTGCTGGTCCTCACATCACAAGGGGATATGTGAGTATAAGCAATTTATTTGGGGAAGGTGACATCTGGCTGTTAATGCCAGAGTGTCCTGAGCATGGTACCTGCCTTTTCCAGGGATGTTATTTATACATGAACCCCATCAGGTCCATGGGCAGATTAACAAAGATACATTCTTCACAGTTCAGAGATGGATGTCCCATATGGATGTGGCGACAGACAGCCTTAACAACTAGAGGTCAATCACCAGCATACCTTTCACGGGCAAGGTGATCAACCTTCCTTGGGGGACGTGTCCAGGGAGTGCAACTTGGGGATGAGCTGTCAGCCCCTTGGACCCCATGGTGAAGTTCCCAGGGAACTTGTCAATCTCCCCAATGCCCTTTAACATCTATGTTAAGCTGCTGCTGGAGGTCATCAGGAGATTTGAAGTGTGGTGTGATCAGTATGTTAATGATATGCAACTCTATCTCTCCTTCTCTGCCTTTGCAGTGGATGCTGGCCAGATGCTGGAGCAGTATCTGGCTTCTGTGTTGGAATGGACTCAGGCCGACAGGCTCAACTTTAACCAGGACTAGAGAGATCATCCTTCAGGCAGGGTGGGGGTGGCTCTAAAGGCTTGGGGGCATTCTTCTCAGGGTAGATAGTACAGACCTCCCACTTAGGGAACAAGGTCAGAACCTGGGTATTCTCCCGGACCCAGCTCTCTCTTGGGATTCCAAGACTGCCATTGTGTCCAGGTCAGCTTTTAACCAACTAAGGTTCATCGCCAGCCCAGCTGTGCTCCCACCTAGGCGAGGGAGCCCTCAAGATGTTGGTGGATGTGCTGGCGATCTCCAGGACTGACTACTGTAATGTTCCCTGTGTGAGGCTTCACATAGCTTGAGCTTGACCTGAAGATTGTAGCAGGTTGAGAATGCAGCTGCCAGGCTGGTGGCAGGTATGAGTAAATATGATCCTGGCTCATCTGCAGTGATCACCTGTTCAAGGTTTTGATGCTCACCTATAAAGCCCTTCATGGTTTAGGACCCCATTACTTGTTGGAGCATCTTGTCCCTAGGTCTTCCTCCTGTGCCACCAGATTCTGCCAGGCTATGTTCCCCAGGTGTCCACTCCAAAGGAATCCGGAAATTGTTGAGAAATCAGGCCTTCTCAGCAGTGGCACAAACTTTTTGGAATTGACTCCCAGTCAAGCTGGACCTGGCTCCCTCCCCTGACATTTTTAAAAGGCTGCTGAAGACATTGCTCTTTAGAAAGGCTTTTGAACTCGCCTGAATTGTTTGGCCTCTTCCCTCGCTGCCTTATTTGGAAGCACTGTGGTATCGCGAGTTATTTCATTTGTCTGTCCATTTTATGTTTTAGGATTGTACTGTATTATGGTGGGCACCCACTCAGAGACAGCATTTTGAGGAGGCAGGGCAGTGAAATTAGGTCACTATCTCTGAGTGGGCGCCATTGGAGGGACGAGGCACTGAACCACTAAACACCTCTTGCAGTAGTAAACAAACTGGGCTGAACTGCTGAACCAGGGGTTCATGCCCATCTCTATAGTAGACCCCACTGGGATGTCCAAAGGACGTATCTTAAAGGGGAGCACCGTAATCTGAGCTGTGCCGTTCATCATATGATTTGGGAAGGTCCTGGTTGTGAGTTTAAAGTCTATAAGGCAAGCAGCAAGCTAGATTGAACAAGTCCAGGTGGTCAATGAGATCATTCTAAGATGATCAGCAGGCTGAGCCAGCCAGGTCATTACATTTCAGGAAAAGTCAAGGCAAGCCAAGTTCCTACTGGGTTCATTTTGGTAGGTTGCAGCAGTGGGAATAGCTCCCAAAATGCTCAGTTAAAGGAGAACCGAACTACATGTTGTTTAAATAATCTAATTTGCAAACAAAGCCTGTGTTAACCTGATGCTAATCAATTACAAGACAAAAAGGACTAAGTTTAGTGGAATCAAGAGCTTTCCCTTATTTCTTTTCATGCCATGCTGTGTTGCCTCAGGCAGCAAAATATGGTGGACCAGTGCTGTTACAACAATATTGTTGTATATAAGTATTCTGCTGTATGCGCATGGAAAATTTATGCTACTGACCCAATTTCTAATACATACATGTACATGAAGTGAAAGAGAAAGGTGCCTCGTGTTCACATGAAATTGTATACATGGATACTGATATGCATTTTTCTAATGCTGGCATAATACTACACTGTTCATATCCTACATTATTTTTAAGCTGACTCTGTGTCAAGCAAACAGAGAAAGGGTTTTCTTGTTGCTGAGCTACTTTTCTTTCCTATTGTCCACAGTCCAAACAATACCCCTCGGCTTCAGAGATAATATAATTTCAGTTTATATATGGATGTATAACAATTCAGCCTTCATAATATTCTAGGTGTGAAATCAATGCTCGCAACATTTAATGTCATGTAAAAATAACCTCTTTTTAATGTCTTTTCAAAGAGGTCTTTTGATCATAATTTAAAGCTGCTTCCGTTGATTAGGCACTGAAAGAATCAGAATTTCGGCCATGAAATCAGAGTAAATGTGGGGAGGGGAAAATCTACTTATGTCTACAAAGCTCTTTGCAGGTGAAAGAAACTGAGCAAAATGAATTTGACTCATAATTAATTTTTAGTGCTTTCTAAATAATGTTGTTTCTCTTGAAGCTCTCTTCTCACAGAGTAAGATTTGGTGGTGGTGGTGGTTTGGAGGGATGTTTGAAAGAACAAGCTTAGCATTGGTTTCACTGTTTCTTTTCTTCTGTGACTAATTAGATTACATCTCTAAATATAATGTGACTCTAGCCACTGTATAGCTGATGAGATGTTTTCAGGTTATTTCCCTCACAGAAACTAACTGTGAGGGAAATTCCCCAAACCACTATCAAATCATAGGTGCCCTCTGTGCCCACAGACTACAACACAGAAACCTTGGATCCATGGATATGTGTCTGAGCTCCATTTTTTAATCCTGTGATTTGGGCCACTGCAAAGTGATGACCCAATGGATCCATGATTTTTATGGTTTAGTTTGTGGGCTGTGACCTGTGATTTGATGTTGGAGAAGGCTCTTCTGTAAAAATCATGTGGATCCGTAACTTGGGTCCATGATTATGCACCACTGCAAAACCATGTGCTGATGGATCTGTGATCCTACATAAAAAATGTAGATCCATTAAGATCTGTGCCTTGGATCGTTGTTTCTGCGCACTGCAAAGGCATGCATTTTTAGTTTCATAATTTCGGTCCCATAATCTATGGGCAAAATGGGACCTATGATTTGACATGGGTTTGGTCGTTGTTGTTTAGTCATGTCCGACTCTTCATGCCCCCATGGACCAGAGCACACCAGGCCCTCCTGTCTTCCACTGCTTCCCGTAGTCGTGTCAATTTCATGTTGGTTGCTTCGATGACACTGTCCAGCCATCTCATCCTCAGTCGTCCCCTTCTCCTCTTGCCGTCACACCTTCCTAACATCAAGGTTTTTTCCAAGGACTCTTTTCTTCTCATGAATGGCCAAAGTACTGGCGCCTCAGCTTCAGCATCTGTCCTTCCAGGGAGCACTCAGGGTTGATTTCCTTTAGAATTGATAGGTTTGTTCTCCTTGCAGTCCAGGCGATTCTCAAGAGTCTCCTCCAGCACCACAATTCAAAGGCATCAATTCGTCGGCGGTCTGCTTTCTTTATGGTTCAGCTCTCACTTCAATACGTCACGACAGGAAAAACCATAGCTTTGGCTATTCGGACTTTTGTTGGCAAGATGATGTCTCTGCTTTTTAAGATGCTGTTGAGGTTTGTCAATCGCTTTCCTCGCAAGAAGCAGGTGTCTTTTAATTTCGTGGCTGCTGTCTCCATCTGCAGTGATCATGGAGCCCAAGAAAGAAAAATCTGTCACTGCCTCCATATCTTCCCCTTCTATTTGCCAGGAGGTGATGGGCTCAGTGGCCATGATATTAGTTTTTTTTTTTTTTGATGTTGAGTTTCAGGCTGTTTTTTGCACTCTCCTCTTTCACCCTCATTACAAGGTTCTTTAATTCCTCCTCACTTTCTGCCATCAGAGTGGTATCATCTGCATATCGGAGGTTATTTCTTCCGGCAATCTTAATTCCGGTTTGGGATTCCTGGGTTTGGAGATCCCAAATAAAAATCATTTGGATTCATGATGATCCATACCTTGAATTGTTGCTTTTGCATCACAACAAAGCCATGAGCGGATATATCCACGATTTCTGTGTTGGAGTCTGTGGCATACATGGGACCTATAATTGTTCATTGACTTGGGGAGGATCCTATGTAAAAATCGCGTGGATACACAAGGATCCCTGCCTCCAAGGCCTACTTTTGAGCCATTGCTGTCATGCACCAAAAGAACTCATGGTTTTTGTACTGTAGTCTGTGAACACAGATGGAATCTATGATCTGACAGTGGTTTAGGAAGGATTCTATCTAAAAATCTTATGAAATCATGAGGGCCAGTGCCTCAGATCCGTGTTTTTGCGCCACTGCAAAGCCATGCACTGAGAAACAACTACAGTGACTTTAGAAAAGAGCTTTCCTTCAGTTGGCTGCCAGGCTAGCGTTGCAGACCGTGATCTGCAAGAACGTACCTCCCTATTTTTCAAATATGAAAGCTTGCAGAGGACGGGCACATCTAAGGGCGGAAGTTCCCTTCCAGCGTCTCTGCCTTCTCTAGCCGCGCAGCCTTCCGTAGAGTACCTACCGGCTCTATGGTGTTCGGGGGTTGACGCATGTGCAGGAGAGGATCAAGTGGCCATGGGCTGAGCGGGCGGAAGCCCGTCGTGGCGGGCGGGCAACGGGCAGCCGGAGAGGCGTCGTCTCCGTCCTTCCTTCCCTTTCGCCCCCTCTTCCCCCCCCTCCCCCTCCCCGAGGATGGAGAGAGCCATGGAGCAGCTCAACCGGCTTACTCGGTCCCTGCGTCGTGCCCGCACGGTCGAGCTGCCCGAGGGTAAGCGGGCAGTCCGAGCGCGAAAGGGGACGGTGGGCGAGGAAGGCGTGCTTGCTCAGAGACCGCCTCGCTTGCCTCCCCGACAGGTGTGTAGGAAGAAGAGGCCATTGGCCAGCAAGGGCCGGGGGAGGGAGCGAGGGAGGGAGGGAAGCGGGCGGCGGCGGCAGACCGGGTGGGGGGGGTGTTTCAGGTTGCGGGAAGGCTTTCTGGTTGCTGGTGCTGGCGAGCCCACGTTAGTCTCCCGGGTGGGATGAGAGGCGGGGGGGGGGCACCCGTCAAACGATGACCAGCAAGTAGGGGCAGCCGTGTCCGGTTTCTAAAATTAAGGAACTGAAGTGTCGCTGGTGTTCCAGCCTTCCTGGAAGTTGTGTGGTCTTCTTTCCTGGGAATTTTTCTTTCCCTCTAGTCTGGTGTCTGACTCTACAAGGAACTGGGAGTGGCATTGCTTTCTGTTAAAAGAACGCACTCTAGACATGATCAGAGGTACTTCTGTGACTGGGTCTGCCTGGAAGAGGCATGGGCATGAAATAGGAGCAGAGCTGAAGTCATTGTGTATGTATGCCTTTGAATGGGTTTATTTATTTAATGGTATTTTTACCCTGCCTTTCTCCTTGGAAAGGACCCCAGGCAGCTTACAACAATGAAAGACAATATTTAAAGTTGAAAACAATGAGTACACCATGGTGGTTATCATTATTAAAAATACAGTATGATGTTTAATATTATGAAGAATGAATAAGGAGGCATCTTGCATAATTAACAGGCAACATTAAGGCAAAGATCAATAAGTATACCAACATTTTGAAAACATCACTCTGAGAAATGGAAAACACACAAAAAATGGAAAACACTAGTACTGTACTAAAAATTCAGTCAAAGCAGTTCAATATTTTTACAGTGTCACTCTGAGAAATGGAAAACACATACACATAAAAATTGGAAAACACTAGTACTGTACTGTACTAAAAATTCAGTCAAAGCAGTAATACGAAACAATCTATCTAAAAGACACACCGATAGCTGGTTACTGAGGGAAGGCTTGCCAGAAGAGGAAGGTCTTGCCTGCTTGCGAAAGGATAGCAAAGATGGGGCCAGTCTGGCTTCCTGTGGGAGGGAGTTCCAAAGTCTGGGAGCAGCCACAGAGAAGGCTCTCTCCTGTGTCCCACACCTGAGAAGGTGGTGGGACCAAGAGAAAGGCCTTAACACCCAAGTCAGCTAATAAGGGGAGATAGGTCTTTGAGATAGCTTAGACCCAGGCCATTTAGGGTTTTTATAGGTTAAAACCAGCACTTTAAATTGTCCCTGGAAACTGATCGGCAGCCAGTGGAGGAGCTATAACAAGGTGGGGGTGGGTTATGTGATCCTTATAACTGGTCCCAGTCAGCAATCTGGCTGCTGCCTTTTGGACCTGTTGAAGTTTCCTGAAACTTTCCATTGGCAGTCCCATATAGAGTGCATTGCAGTAATCTAGCTGGGAAGTAACTAGGATGTGTATCACAGTGGCCAAATGAGGTCTCTCAAGAAATGGACGTAGCTAGCGCATTACTTTTCATTGTGCAAATGCACTCCTGGCCTCCACCGAGACCTGGGCATCCAGGTTCAGGGTTGAGGTCGGGTAAGGGTGGTTGGGATTTAGACTGGAGATGTGTTTTCCCACCTCTTTTTCTACAGTAATAACAAAAGATACATCCTCTCTTTTTGCCAAGGTTTAGTCACAGGGTTTATCTCTTGTCTGTTTGATGTATGTATATGGCTGAGTGATAGATCTCATATAGGGTATGATATATTGGTTTAATCCATTATGCTTTAGACTGGTGATGGTGAAACTCTCGACCTCTGCCCCATGCAACAAGAGTGACATTTAATTGGAAATAATCCATATGGGACTACAGTATTATGTTTTGGTGGGGGACAGAACTCAAGCCGATGATTAGACTAGAGCCTCACTTTTTTCTTTTTCTGTTCACTTTTTCCAAATACATACTCCCTGTCTCTTTTTCTGACACCTTTTATTTTCTTCCTTATAAAGTGAAGTGGTGGTGTTGGGGGCAGAGTATAGTTTCTGGATACCTGGAATTGATTGCCTTTGAAATTAGGGGTAGAGGGATGAAATTCTGGCAAGGACTGTGGAGAGCAGGCTCATGTCAATAGGAATGGGGATGTGTTGTTTTTTTTAACTTCAACTCCCAGAATTGACTTTCCCAGGCAGAATTCTGGGAGTTTCAATTCACAGACCCACATCTATAGATACCTGTACTTTGCTCACCTGGAGCAGCATCTTATCCTCAAAGGCCGTATTCTAGGCCTTTATTTCCTCCTACAGTTCTTCCTGATAGGAAATTGCCACAGTGGTTCCTGAAGCTTAGGTTCTTTAGAGGGCACCTCCCGAAGAACTGTGACACCCAGGAAGTATCCTCCTAAGGAGCATTGCAACAGAAAGTGTTGGCCTAGAATGCTGCCTTAGAGGGAATAGGCCCTTCTCAAGGTGAGCAAAATAGAGTTTTCTAGAAATGTGGGCCTATGGACTGGAGCTCCTAGAATTCTGCCTGGGGAATTCTTGGAAAGTTCTGGGAGTTGGAGTCCCCAAACCCAAATGGCTCATACCTAGGTGTCAGTAAATAAAGCAATATTGCTCCACATATTTGTTTATTATAAAGTACATTGAAATTGATGATCTGATTCATTGTCAGGCAGAAAAATATTAAAAAGGTGCTTTGGTAATATGCAGATTCCTTTTTTCCCCCAGCACCAGGTAATGACTAGTTTGGTTTTGGGAGGAAAGAGTTCCTTATCAGCTGTAGGAAATGCTTGATCATAGCATTTCCCATTGAGAAAACAAGTGCTATCATCCCCCCCCCCNACCCCCCCCCCCCCATTTCCAAAAATGAGAGACTGAAATTATATGGTTCAGATTTCTTCTAACACAACATGTAGAATGGCTATTGATTTTGTTTTTTAATCGGTTGTAAATCCTGGTTGTAAAAACAGGCAAGAGGGGGATGTAATTGAAAGTTGCAGTAGAGGGGGGAGAGAGAGAGAGAGTGAGAGAGTGAGAGCATCTATGTTTGTTAGGGATATATTATGGGAAAGGCCACAGAGTGGTCCTGGAGTCATATGTGCACCCCACAACTGTTTTAGTGACACCAAGGCCTCCTGTGGACCCCCCATGTGCTGAGGGGCAAGGGAAGAGGTGTTCTGGTAGCTTTCAGAAGTGACTCATCTGCACAGCATCTCTCTCTATTCAGATTGTAACTAAATAATTACACTACTTTTACTTCCATTCTCTTAATATTAAAAAACCTCATTCAAGAGCCACTTTTCTGGAGTTGAGAATTGTGTTTAGCTGCAGAATTGGAAAGACTCGAGTGAATGTGTCCTTTGAAGAAATAGTTGCAAGGCAGTTCCGTTTGTTTTAAAAAATGCAAAACAATATAACATCTGCCCGTCCGTCTGTCCGTCTGTCTGTCCATCTGTCTGTCTGTCTGTCTATCAATCAATCAGATTAATCCAGTCAACTGTAACTTATTTGGCATGAGCATTCCTTGCCCCAATGAATCATGTCATTTATTTGTGTAAAAAATCGGTACCTTCAGCTGTGATGACAGTGGTAGAATATCAGGCTCTGTTTCTCTCCAATTGTGCAATAACTATTATTTGATTTCTGTACAGATAATGAAACTGCTGTGTATACCTTAATGCCAATGGTTATGGCTGACCATCACAGGTGAGCATGCACTGTTATTCCATTTACAGCTAGACCAGTACATCTAAGTATGGATCTAAAGAAGTACTGCTTTTAGTGTTGTACAACACAGTGATGTGCAAAGTTTATTTTTAAGGCCCCTTTGCCTGGTCTGCAGGCAGATGTTGATTTTCTGCGATGAAAAGAGGGATATGCAGCCCCAGGGTGTAGTAAAAAAAGTACCACTTTCTCTTAGAACAAGACATGTGCCTTATATACACCTTTTAATAGCAGTTGACCCATAGCCAGAGAACCAAGATTCTACCTGTAAATAAGGTACATGCCTGCCATCCCCCAAATTCTGAAAGTTGCCCATCCCTGTTCTGTGTTGCTTAGAGTTTATTTTAAAATTAGGTTCCTCCCCCTCGCACTCAAAATGATGGCAGACCTCTTGCTCAATATCTGCAAAGCAGCCAAAAAGCCTTTAGGCCAAGTTTGTTTTGGAAGAAACATACATGTTAAATATCCATGTTTTGTGACATTTGTGTAAAATAAAGAAATTGTTGCTCACAACTACAGATAACTTTGAGTAGTTTCTAGGTCAAGAGTTATTTGGCTGTTTCCCGGCACTTAGAAGAGGATGTTATTCCAAACTAGGTCAAATTAAAATTCTTTTCAGAATAATACATTCCCGACTTCTTGGACAGAGGCTAAAAATAAAATAAATGAACAAAGGTCACATTAGAATAGAAGTACCCTTTGGATTGTGCAGGCATACAATTTATGTCTCTTTTACAATTGTTTCAAATCTTCAGATAATCTGTTACTTTTAAGATAATTGGAGGCTTAAATCCTGTTCCTCTGCCTATTGTTTGTATGTGCAGTTTTTTTTAAAAAGAACAATGCTGCTACATCTTTCATAGTGGTGTAGGTTGTAGAAGATGTTTCAGCAACCATATCTGGCTGCTGAAACATCCTCTTCTGAGCATGTATAAAGCACAAAAAAGCACCATCTTCCTTTTCACTTTTTTGTCCTGTTTGAAAAGTTTCCACTGAAGTGGCTAGGATTAAACTAAAGTCTGTTTAAACTTTTTGGTAAGTTGGAATTTTCTTTTTTCTTTTTTTTTTTTCTGGTAATACAACATACACAGCTGGCAACTTCCCACAATAAAAAGTATTTGAATACACATCTTGCTTGATAACTTACATTTGTTTTGTTTTAGATCTGTTTCAGAGTTGCTGTCAAATTCAAAGTTTGATGTCAATTATGCATTTGGACGTGTGAAGAGGAGTTTGCTTCATATTGCAGCTAAGTAAGAGAACCCTTGAAAGTTTTGTGATGAAAGATGTAGATTAACTTTCCAAATATTCCTTGAAGAAGGTTAGTTTCAGCTCATTATCCTTATCCCTCAGATGGTGGGGGGCTAATGGTGTCCTACCATTAGTCAGTTGTTTTAAAAAAATAAAAATAAAACAAACTCAAATTGTTAGCTTTTGCAAACCCAAGTAATCCACAGCAGTATTGCAAAGAACAAAATGGCTGAAAACTAATAACCAGCAACTAGAACAGACCTAGGCAAAGTGCAGCCCGCGGTCCACATACGGCTTGCGGGCCGCTTTTGTCTGGCCTGCGGACAGTTTTGAACATCAGAACCATTTATAGCTTTTTGTCCAAAGTTTATAGTTGCTTATCTTTAACATACAGCAAAAAACCTCTTTAGTATTTGTGAAGATTAACAAGCTTAAAATAAAAACAATCATAACATCACTGTTTCATTTTATTTTTAATAAAGTTGGCTTGGCCCCTGAACACAGTACAGATTTTTCATGTCCCCCCCCCCCAATAGAAATTAATTGCCCACCCCGAACCAGAAGGAGTTACCCAGCAAGGAGTTACTGGACTTTGTTTTGAGGTTGTGTGAAAGAAGCATCCCAGAATTTATACTGAGTTGGGTTTATTTACAAGGAGGCTGGAATAGGAGAACGTAAAAGCTTATTAAACAAACAAAGTAGCAATGTGGACATTTTAAACAGACATAAAATAAGAAAGCAAATGCAAACATAGTAGTAGGTAGAGACCTTATGAAAAAACAGATATTTAGCACCTGTTCTGGGGCAAAAGCATCCTGCTCCATGAAAGCATAAGCTTGGACTATGCAGCATGTGACAAAACCAGTAGTCCAATCATGAAGTTGGGAGTAGCACAAAATATGTGAAGCAGACACAAACTAACAAAACAGAATGGATGCAACCACTTCTACACTGGCAGTTGGAGTGCTGGCATTGTTGCAGTCTATTGAATTTCTGATATAATTCTCTTTTTGACAGCAGAAGTACAGAGGAGTATAGCTACAACTTCTCCAGAGTCCACGCCTTTCTCATTAATGGTCACTTGAAAGTCCCGGTAACTTATTCTGGGACGTTTGTAAGAGAAAGAATAAACCATTTCCTTTACTTACAGTTGCTTGGAATTACAGACTTGTGTATACAGCTTTCTTTATTGCACACATACTTAGCAAACAACCAGCTGAATAAATCAACAGCAAGCGAATAACCTGAACCAACCAAAGAAAGAAAGAGGGAGCGAGAACACTCAGCAGAGAGGAGGGGCTCTCTTTGAAATTAAAGGCTGTAAGAATGATTAGTTAGTTCTTGATAGATATACAGTAACCTCAGCCCAGAAAACTCCCTCCTAGTTACACAAACAATAGATGGTGTGTGAGTTTGGAAATAAAATTCAAAACAGACATGAGGCACATCCCTCCCTCGTTGACCTTTTATATTACAAAACCATTTAACTCATGGCCCACTCATAAGTTGAATTAGCTTGAATCTTCTTGAAGCTGCAAGTGCACATGGCATTTGAGCTGGCTATTTGGATACCACCTGGAAGCAGTGGTTCCTTTTTAATTAGAGAAGACTCCATTGTTGACCATAGAACTTCAGGATGAAGCCACTGGAAGTATCTTAAACCATTTGAAAATAAGGAAGAAAGCAGTCTTCCTATTGACAGTGTGCTGTCATCTCTCGTGGAGTTTGAAGCCAGCAATTCAATTGTGGATGGGGGAGGGGGTTGGGAGAAATGTCCGTAACAGAAGATGAAGCAACTTCAAATGAGAGAGTTAGAGCAACTAGAGGAGAACAGTTTGAAAAAGAGCAGGAAGAAAGACTGGGAGGAGGAGAAAAAGAGAAGGAGGGGCAGGAGGGAATAAAAGGAAGGAAAAAGGGGAAGCAGAAGGAGAGAGTGTTGCCTGAAGGTTGGCAATGGAGAATCCCCGGACTGGAGGAATCGGAGAGACTAAAGATTCCCCCTGAGGAAGCTGAGAGATGTAGGAGAAGGCAGCTACCAGTCAAGGCACCGTTTCGTGGTGAGACCGAGGCCAGAGCAAGGAAAGCTGTAAAGAGAGAAGGTGAACGGGGTATAGGAAGATTGCAGGAGCAAGGTTCAGACTTTGTTGACCTTTTGTTAATATCTTTCTAATTTTCCCCCACAGTTGTGGGTCAGTTGAATGTCTAGTTCTGCTGCTAAAGAAAGGTGCAAACCCCAATTATCAAGATATTTCAGGATGTACCCCACTTCATTTGGCTGCTAGAAATGGGTAAGTAGATTTGCTATTAGTACATTCAAGTGTTTCGTTCCTGAAAGATTTGGTAACTTCACTAAACTATCACAAATAATGATAGATGCAGTGCCTAGTTATTTGGTGAGGGGAGGGTGCTTAGGGAACCCTGCAGATGCTTTTTTGAATTAAAACATCCTTGATTCTTTGCTTTTCAGACAGAACAGTGCTACTACAAGCATGCAAAAGGTCCTAGGTTCAGTCCCTGTCATTTCCAAGTAGAGAAATAAAAATGGGAAACTGAGTCTCAAGATGTATAAAAATATTTACAACACAGACGTTATTCTTATCTAAAAAGCTCAGGCTTGACATGTTTCGACTGGCCTTCTCCAGGAGCAAGCTTTTAGAACTGTAGCATCTCATTTGGTCTATTCCAGCTCCAACATTGGCCCAGAGTGCTTCCATATTGTGTACTTGTTAATATAAGTCCAGCGTTCTGTTGAACACTTCTGTGAAACAAAGCACTGCTGGTGAACTGCTAAAAACTTCAGTAGGGCTACCAGTCCTTTGTCTCAGTCCAGACATCTGTCCAGGGACTGGAGCTCTAGGGTGTGTACAGCTTCTTCTCTGCTTGCAATATATATATTTCTAGTTAGTGCACAGAGCTAGCCTTTGTACTTCTGGGGTTGGTCAGTAAGCATAGTGACAGTGGACTTCTTGGCCACAAACAAAGAAAATGGCAGGTTGAGCCAGAGCCAACAAATGGAGGCAGGCCCAGGATGTTCTGGTGTTGTTCCTTTCCTCGTCATTAACTGTAGTAACAACCCTTAAATAATGCAGTCAGGTTCATTAACATCTAGCTGAACTTTGCAGAGGTCTTAACCATGGTTCAGAAAGCATCTTTCACTCCTTGTTCTTTAACCATGTTGCAGACTCTGAAGCTGGGAATTCTACTGTTGTCCATGGGCAGGTGTTACTCCTCAGACAGGCACCAATGTGTCATGTCCCCTTACTGTTGGGGTGTGGTGCCAGGTAGCACAGGCCAGTATGAAGCCTGCTGCGATGCACCGCTGGCTGACAGGAATGAAGAGGGTGGGTGGTGGCCGCAGTGATGTGCTGGAATAATAAAGAAATATGACTGCTGTCATAGAACCAGTTGCAGCCATTGGAAATCATGGCCCCAGACACATGAGTCTCTGAGTAGACAACTTGCTTTTCTCTGGTAAATGTTCCTTTCTCTCTTTTTATGGAAATTAGTAGGGGTCTGTATTCACAGAAATTGGTGTAGCTTTCTGGACTGAAACATGTGAATGTCATGAAACTGAGAATGTAGAACTCAATACTGTATTCTGAGAACCTTGTCTTTTTGAAAACAGAAGTAGGCACCTTGGGGAGGGGGATTGGATTTAGAGCGAAGTTTGCAAAGAGCACCACGTGGGGTACCTAACATGCACACGACTACATGTCTGTGTTGGAGGAACACTTGTCAACTCTACTGTCGTGAGAGAATTTGTTGCTGAGTGTGTGATCCAGCCAAATGATGTGCAGGAAGACTTGTTTTATTGTGCCTGTGGCTAATACCCATTTCATTTCTTGCCCAGCCAGAAGAAATGTATGAGCAAGCTCCTAGAATATAGCGCTGACGTCAACATTTGCAATAACGAAGGCTTAACAGCAGTATGTTCTGTTTCTCAACTATCACTTAAAGGGTTGTGTTTTATAAACATCTCTTTGTCTCTTGATCTTTTATTTGTGGTCATTAATTGTTTAATGTTCATGATGTTTTTATGATATTTGTAAGCTGCCCCGAGTAGACGCTGTTTACGGGGGTGGGGTAGAAATCTAATGAATGAATAAATAAAAATAAATAAAATAAAATAAAATAAAATAGTACAGAATGGCAGGAAACTTATTTTCCTGGCTGGTGATTCTTAATTGCTGTAGTATATTGGTGATGTTGAAGTAAGATGAATTCTAATATTTGTGTGTCATAGTAAATGTTACTGTTTTTATTACTGGTTTTGCTTTGCTTCTTAGTAATTTTTTTTTTGTATCCAGATCCACTGGCTTGCTGTTAATGGGCGAACCGAATTGCTCCATGATCTTGTACAGCATGTGACTAACGTGGATGTTGAAGATGCAATGGGCCAGACAGCACTTCACGTGGCCTGCCAAAATGGACACAAAACGGTAAACATTTTATGAGGAAGTGTAAGCATATAATGAGAAGGAAGCCTATTTCTGGAAAACATCAAAACTGTCATTGTATTATGAATCATAACTGACCATATCCTCAAGGGATAGTGCATTTATAGGAATGTCCCAACACTGCAGAGTTGCTGATTCTGTAGTAGTTCAGTGACTTATAGAGGACAACATGTTTTTTATGCATGTTTTCACAATAGTTAATCAGAGATCCATATTTGTTTGTATTTAACTGTATAAAACCTACAAAAAGCCTAGCAAAAAATGAAGGCTTTCTTTGATTTTCCCTTCTGTTGACTTCACTTGGGTTTACATAGTAGCAAGGGTATGTAGTTTTAAATTTTAGAATGTAGGACATTGGCAAATTAAGTTGTTAAGCTTCAGTGATTTATTGGGTGTGTGTGTAAAGTATTGTCCACATGTGAAACTCTTTATTGGTGGCCATATTTTCTGCTAGCTAGACTGAGGCTCACAGTACTGTCCTATATGTAAATATATAGCCAAAAGTATGCAGGGAGATTTAGTCCCAGTCAAGTGCCTATAAAATTGCAGCCTAAGTTGTATGTGATTGTAGATTTATTTTATTCATTTTTTTTCTTCCCCAAAGACAGTTCAGTGTCTTTTAGACAGTGGTGCTGATATTAACAGGCCCAATGTCTCAGGAGCAACTCCACTCTACTTTGCTTGCAGGTTTGGTTTATTTCATTTTTAAACTGTTATATGAATATTATGTATTAAATTTACCCATATTAAGTTTATAGCGGGGAGAGTGTTGACTTAGCTTTTCAAAATCCATTCATTGGATGCACAAGAATCTTTCTACAGTGGTGCCTCGCTAGACAATTACCCTGCATGACAGTTTTTTCGCTAGACATTGACTTTTGCGATCGCTGTAGCGATTCGCAAAACAGTGATTCCTATGGGAGAATTTCGCTGGACAATGTTTGGTCCCTGCTTCGCAAACCAATTTTCGCTAGACAACGATTTTGACAGCTCCTTCCGTGCTCACAAAACGAGTGTTTTCGGGACCTAAGCTTCGCAAGACAGCTATTTAAACAGCTGATCAGCGATTTGCAAAGCGGCTTTCCTGTGGCCGATCTTCACTAGATGACGACTCTTCTTCCCCATTGGAACACATTCAACAGGTTTCAGTGCATTCCAATGGGGAAACACTTTTTGCTAGACGATGATTTTGCTAAACAGCGATTTCAGTGGAATGGATTATCATTGTCTAGCCAGGCACCACTGTACATGATGTCTTCTTGCTGCTGCTGCAGCATTAAGAACATCATGAGCTTGGTTGATTGCTCTGAACAGAAAGGGTTTTGCCTATGAAATGTATTAATTCAGGAAAGAACTAACTGGTGGCAGAAAGTGTATCAAATAGCTCATGCTAACTTCCCTATGTTTCATATAGTCATGGCCAAAGAGACACTGCACAGATCCTTTTGATGAGAGGAGCCAAATACTTGCCAGATAAGAATGGAATCACTCCACTTGATCTCTGTGTACAGGTACAGACTTGTTTCTAGGTCAAATGAGTTGCTTAAAACCTTGGTCTGGAGAGCCAATATTATATTTGTGACTACAGGTGTCACCTTATATTGTACAGAGATGCTGATGGAGGATGCATAAGTCATACTGTATCATCTCTCGGTGCAAAGGATTTTTTTAATTTCCTGTGTGCCTAGACAAAGTGTGCAGTGCTACTGATCCAGAAAAAGTGTACTACTTGTTCTATAAGAAGGTCCACAGTGTCGTCTTTCTTATTTTAGTCTGGCAAGTTCATGAGTCACACATGAGTCACTTATGCATCACCTTTCAGCATAATACACAAAGCTGCAGTTGCGTTAGATGTCTTTGTGTAGGAGTGTCTTGTGTTCAATGCAGCACCTGAGGTATGACTAAGGCTAAACAGATTATGAATATTGGAAGTAGGAACTTTTAGAGGTTGAATCTGGACAGTTATTGATAACTATTTTCTGTAAGTAGTGTTCTGTCTCAATGTAATTTTCTCTACTCTACAAAATAAATTGTTAAATCTGTATTAGTTTGTCTTCAGAAGAGCTAAACCACCACCAAACCTATCTACTCTTCAATTGCAAAAGTAGTAGCTCCTTGTAAAATGCCATAGTGGGATTTGAATTTAGTGTACATGCATGAAGTTTTCCTCCCTCCCTCCTTCCTTCAACAAAACAAGCTTCATATTTACAAAGTAATATGACATGGAGATTCTTTCTATGGTGGAAGACTAGAGCAATTGGGAGCATAATGGGGCATCCCTCTTCCTACTTTGCTTTCTACTAAGCATTCTTTACAAGTATTAACTTAACCCAACTTTTACAATTGAAAAAAAAACACCTGTTGACGGCTGAAGTAGCTGACAATCAGGCTGACTTGTTAGGGTTTTTAATTGCTCTTTCCTGCTACCATTGTTTCTGTTTTAAAAATTGCATTTATGTATGCTTCATCTACTCAGTATACTTCCAGCTTTCAAGGAAGTTTACAAAGGGTATGTTTGGAATAGTTGCTTACCAAAATATATTTTTTTCAGGGTGGCTATGGAGAGACTTGTGAAGTCCTAATACAGCATCATCCTAGGCTTTTCCAAACAATTATTCAAATGACACAAAATGAAGATCTCCGAGAAAATATGGTAAATTTAGTTACTATATTTCAAATCTCCAGACTAATACTGACCATTTAAATAGATTCTTCTTCTAATTCCAAAAAGCTCAAAAATAGATCATCTCTACATTTATAGTCTGATCCTATGCATGCTTATTTGAAAGTGCATTACAATAAAACCTACTGCCTTGTAAGAGTGCATGATTTTTGACTATTTGCAGTCTTCTACAGTATGGCTGAATTCAAGTCCCACTAAACTCAGTGAACTCATTGGGACTGACTTCTGGGTGGTCAGATAGGAGTGTCTGAGTTTGTATTTGCTTTGCAACTTCAGACATCCAGGGGGAAAACTGATTTTCTGAATCTGATTTCCAAAACTGATTTTCTGATTTTCATTCTGGTTTCAGGTTTTATGTATGGAAACTACCTTGGTCACCCTAAAAGATGACCCAGGACAGGAGAATCGGATAGATTGTGTAGTATTTCTTATTTTTGGCAGCTTTTGATACAGTGGAGTATGAGATACTTCTGGAGAGACTATGTAGTATAAAACAGAAAACATTAGCTGGAATCCTGTTCATAGCACAAATCCAAGTATAACTTTCTCTCTGTTTCTCCCTGGTAAACAAAGCACTGGTGCTGCTATTCTTAGGGGGCAAACGCGTGCACCCCTGAGAATTGAAGCATTGATGGTTTGTTTACTAGAGAGGAACAGGTAGGAAGTTATGCTTGGTCTTATACTATGAACAGGATTTCAGTGACTGTTTCAGTGGTTCCACTTCTGCCCAGAAAGCTATGGATGTGGAATGTTTGCTCCAAAGAAGCTTCCCTGTCATCAGTTTTGGTGTTGCTTCGGTGCTAGGCAGAGGCATCTTTTTTTAAAGTCCTACAACTGCAAATGGGCTTAAAATTCATGTAATTTGTAAATAATGTGTTGTAGGAATTCACTCTGTAGTTTTAAGTGCTATGAAATACCAGAACTGCCACTATAACCTCTCCTCCCACATTTTTAGGGCTCAATATTTAGTTAATAAATATTAAAGAATGCTCCCTTTCCATCAGTAAGGGTAGCAGATTTAAATATTGTCAAATTATGTAGAAAGACTTAAGGATTGTAGGTACCTTGGTAGACAAGGCATTCCTGATTCTCAAATACAGTACATGAGAAATAATGCTTATTTTAAGACGGTGATACCTCCTGCAGTATGTGTGTGCATTGTCATGCAGCCCCAGTGAGTGTGGGCACCATCTAGAACTTCTTTTTTAATGTTCATGAAATATTGGAGCAAAGTAATTGTTTTAATAATGCTGGCTTGGGAGGGGGTTGTGTGTTTGTGTTTTTTGGTTATCTTTCCCATCAGATAGGGAGATCTGAGATAGCAACCCGAATGAACATGAATGAGTGTGTGCATGTACTTTGGACTTCACGAAAAGTAAAGAGGGATCATAACCCAACATATGTTTAGAAATCAATAGTCTTGAGTTTAGTATTTTAAATGTGTTTGTGATGTAATAAAAATTCTAGTGACTATCTTTCCTGCATATAGTTGCGGCAAGTCTTGGAACACCTGTCTCAACAGAACGAAAACCAGTATCTTAAAATCCTAACTAGTCTTGCAGAGGTGGCTACAACAAATGGTCATAAACTGCTCAGGTAAATGGTCAGTCACCTTTGATGATGATTTTGTAGTTTTCCTTTCTCTTTTTGTTCTGCATGGAATTCAATATTCGGACTGTTGTCATAATAAAACTGTATTGAGAACAACAGTAACCTTGGTTTTCTCAGTATGTTTTTTAATTAAATATTTGTAAAAGAAGCCTTGCTTCATTTTGCAAGAAGAAACAAAGCAGCAGTAAATATATGAATTGAATGTTGACATTTATGTTTATCTGTAAATAATATGCATTGATTTCTGCCCACACAGTCCCTGCTTCTACTCTCTTGTGATACATCCCTTCATGGCATAAATTCTCTACCAAAAAGAAAGTAGTTTGACATTGAGATGACAAAACTAAATGTCTTGTTATGGGTTTAGTCAGCTAGGGAGGAGAACTGTGATAATAGTCGAAGTATATTACATTGCACAATCCCTTAACATTGTTTTTTTTATAATCAATCAGTGTGTTCATTGTATTCTCGAAGGCATTCACAACTGGGATTCGATGGCTGTCGTAGGTTTTTCAGGCTCTTTGGTCGTGTTCTGAAGGTGGTTCTTCCTAACATTTCGCCAGTCTCTGTGGCTGGCATCTTCAGAGGACACGAGTTAGAACTCTGTGTTCTAGTGTAGTGTGTGGGATAATGTGTTCATTGTTCAGTCAAAAAGATCATTGCACTACGTAACAGCAGTTGGGCAAGCAGTAGCAGTTTGCCATCGGTCTGCCCATGGCCTGTGGTATTCTAATTGTGCAATGGGGTTTGTGATTGTCAGCCAACAAACTGCATAAACCATGCTGTTATGTATTCAGTATTTCATAGTAGCATTTTGTCCAATACATCAAGGGAGAGTGGACTGCATGGATGTTTGGCTTGTGGCTACTTCAGAAATTTCAAATTTTGTAACTGTAACTCAGATTGCAGGGCAGGTCCCTGTTATGTTAAGCTGTTTCATGTTCTGTCCTTTCTAGCTTGTCAAGTAATTATGAAGCTCAGATGAAAAGTCTGTTGAGGATCGTGAGGATTTTTTGTCACCTTTTTCGTCTTTGCCCATCCACTCCAAATAATGGAAATGACATGGGGTACAATGGAAATAAAACTCCAAGAAGTCAAGTGTTTAAGGTCAGGAAAGTAATCAACATTATTAGAAGATCTTAATGGGATGAATTTCACAAAACATGCATTCATTAATCGGGCATTTCATGAAGGGGATGTAAGTTTGGTTGATACTCGTTTTAAGCTGTGTCTTTTAAAAATCTTTATGATCAGCACTATCTTAAGTGATTATTGTATCTTTCAAAATGTTATTTATCTTAAGTTCATCACATGTACTTTAAAGCTGAGTTTTTAAACATTGCATAAAGAGGTAGTTTTTCAGTTCCACCGAATTGCAACTGGCATGATAGGCATTCTTTCAGAAATGTAAGAATCTTGTGTGTTAGATTTTTTTAAAAAAACACTTCTGTGTTGTACATAGAGAGAGGCTAAGGCATTCAGTCTGTTGGGGATGAAACTTGGGTGCCTGGCTATCAGTTCTTGAACTGTGAACTCTCGTCCCACATAATTTTTTGCCAAGATCCTTCTTCCATACATGTTCAGATTACAAGCATTCTTGCCAAAAGATGTGAGGACTACTTCTTTTTCGTATGATCCCATGCTGGTCAGGATGTAATGGCTATCACAATTACATAGATGATCAAAGGGTCAGTGGATAGAATCCTGTTCGTGTTCATGTAAAGTTTGTAACTTGCTGCAGCTAATTTCTGCTAACTGGTCAGGTGCTAGAGTTTATAAAAGTAATGCCAATTAGTTTAGATTTCATTTAGGAAGAAAGTGCTATTAAATTTGATATACAATTATTTATGTATCGCTCTTATTTCATTAGTAGCTTATCTTTTTCTTTTAGTTTTTCAAGATAACTGGTTCTAAAACTTTGATCCAGTTTTCCTTATATGAAACCTGACACCTACTCACAGAGTAAAGGGAAACATTGAATTCATGTGTCATTACATGCCAGGTGCTTACATTGGGTTGAGGGTCACAGTCAGAAAGAGCTGTGCTCATTCTTTTCCTTGTTCTAATTGAAACTGCTACTTCATAGACTCCATTCCCTCGACATTTTTACACCACTACTGTATAATTCTGTATACTAATATGTTTCTGCACCATCCATAATAGTGGCTGGATTTTTGGTATCTTGTTGTGCAAGATGGGTTCCTCACCTAAAAAAACATAGCAAGCCATTAAACAGGTTGTTTTAAGCCTTTGAGGATCAGTGCTGTTCTTTCATAGCTCACAACAAAATGAAATGAAATTTGGAAGATCTGTAATGTCAGTACTTCTGCGTTCAAGTTTTTAATCAAGTAGGCCATTGCCCTTTACAATATATGATAGTGAATGGAGGAAAATGCCTGTTTTGTTTGATTTTTTAAAGGTAGCATTTGAATGGTAGTAGTTTCAGTCCTGAAAGTGTGTCTAATGTTCTGCTAGATGCCATCTTCTCATTCTTTGTTGTCTTCTGCAGCCTCTGGAATTACTCTGGCACTCGTTAGATGAGTGGCTCGCATTAATATCAGCAGAACTGATGAACAACAAAAGGAGCTCTGCCAATATTACTTCCATTTTGCTGAAACAGAGAGGACCAGATCAAGAAGATGGCACTCCTATGCATATCTTCGATGTTGCTCCATCTGGAAACAGCAGGGCCCTACCTGCAGATGTAGGCGAGTCTAAAATTTATGAAGTTGGCAGCACACAGGAAGCATATGCAGATTGCCAGGATGTTATTTCTGTGACTGCAAATCGACTGAGTGCTGTGATTCAAGCATTTTATATGTGCTGTTCCTGTCAGATGCCTCAGGGGTAAGAAGATTCTCTCTGAATTCTTTCCTTTTCCTCCTTTTGCATCATCCCTGCCGTCACTAATGAGAATTTGAAGTTAATTAATTAATTAAGTCTCATGTATAAGCTGACTTTCTCCCCATAAGAGGACTCAAGGCAGCTCACAAGGTTAAAACAAATGAAATTAAAACACAATAAACAACATATTAAGGACAAATTAAACTATCATAATAGTCAAAATATGTCAAGTGATTAAAAGGATTAACTTTAAAAGCAAACTGACAAGCTGAAAAGCTAAAACCAGCATCAAGGGACTCACTTTAGAGGTTATTTGTTAAAGTTAAAAGCCTTTCAGCTGTCAGTGGAAGGATAAGAGGGAGGGACCCAACCTAATTTCCCAAGGGAAAGCATTCCATAGTCTGGGACCTGTTACAGAGGGAAGGCCCTCCCCCATGTCCCCATCAGGGTTACCTGCAGTGGCAATGGGACTGAGAGGGGGACCTCCTCTCAGGATCTTAAGAGCCAAGAAGGATCCTATGGGGAAAAATTGTCCCTCAGATAAAATGCCTACTAGCCCAAAGAATTGCATTCCTGCACAACTATACATATTTTGAAATGGGAGTTTCAGGACAGTCCTACCAGTAAAGCTAAACTAATGAATCAAGACTATTTTATTATAGGGTAATTGCATGGAATGGGAAGGAAAACTTGTTAGTTGTTTGAAGATTATTGAAAAACAATTATCTGTAATAGCATGGCATTATGGAATTCATGTCGTACAGAAGACATCATTTATAATGCCAAATGAGCTGTCAGTCCTGAACACTTACCGTACTTTATTTAAAAAAGCTGGAAAGTTTTGAAGTAAACTGCTGGTGGAAGATACCTTAAGTGCCCAGTAGCAATAATGTAGCAGGACATTATTTGCAGTTTTTATGAGCTGCTTGCATACTTTTTCCAGTTTGGTTTTAGAGAACCGCTAGCATCATACACTAGGCCTTTCATCATGCTTGAAATTTTCCATCTTCCCAAACTGGGAGAGCCTCTGGCAATGTTTTCATCACATAGCCGCCTAGAGTGGTCGAAATGACTTAGATAGGCGGGGTATAAATACAATAAATAGAAAAATAAATAAATAATAAATATTATTTTAATAGGCGAGCAGAATTTGGAAGACGATGAATTTGTAGTAATGCCATTCTCAGCCTTTCTGTGGCCAGAGCCATAAACACAATATGAAAGAAATACAAGCCGAATCAGGGTTGTGTAAGTCGCATAACAAACCTTATAAGGTGGTGTGTGAAGAATTGTTTCCAGTCTGTGGCTCCCTTCAAATGTAACTGGACCTCCCAGGTGCTTTATGCTCCCTCCCTCCCATGAATGACTAATCTAGTATATGAAAGACTCCTAGAGCATCTGGTCTAACAATTTGAAACTATTGATAGATTATGTTTATCACATTCTTCTAAACAGTCTAAAGGCGACTTACTAAAACTTTTTCCCATTATGTGCTATTGAAAACTATATGTGATAGGTAAAATTTTGAGATAGTGTCAGGCTCAAGATTTTAATATTTTTATGCTATCTCTTTTGTCAGTTTGTGGGGTAACAAAATTGTGGGTTGAGTATTATCTTTATCAGATCTCTTTGTTATTAAGGCATGGTTTCATGTTTCCCTGAACTCTTCATTTCTGTGCTTTCCTTATAAAAACAGATTTTACAGCTGAATATTTTTGTAAGTTTTTTCTCTTTATATTGTGACTAAAATCTCTCTGTATTGTGATGTTTTACCATGAAGATACAGTGGTGCCCCGCATAGCGACGTTAATCCGTTCCAGGATTAACGTCGCTATCCGGATTCTTCGCTATGCGGGAGGGGAAAACCCATAGGAACACATTAAACTCTGTTTAATGCGTTCCTATTGGGGGAAAACTCACCGATAAGCGAAGAATCCCGATCTGGCCGCCATTTTCGCCGCCTTGATAAGCGAGGCGCGAAAATGCTGC